TCTGGTTTCTCACTGACTGTGTGAGAGGTAGCTGTCCTAAGACAGTTGGTGAGAGCACTGGTCATAAATGCAATTTTGGAAAAAGTATTTGCTTAACAAGTGAGCCTCTCTCCTAACAAGGTGGAGGACTCAGGTGCAAAATTAGGCATTATTGCAAGAGTGGGGAATCTGGTTTTGTAAAAGAACTGCCTTTTCTTGAGGGGAATCAGTCAACAGCTGCATGCTGCCTATGTATAGAAAAAGAAGAGGACAGGAAGCAAAGAAATGCCTTCTCCAAGCAGGATCAGAATTAGCAGTATTTTTAAAAGGAAACTTGTTAAGAACCCAGAGTAACTGTTTCCAGCTATAGTTCTAGGCTGGCTGGATCAACACTCTTGAGTTACTGTAAGGCAGATTCTTATCTCTACTTCAGAAGTTTGGAGTCCTTGGGGTCCTCTGAGCTTGTTTGTTTTCTTGCAAATGTTTCGTTACCCGGTGCCCATACTTCAGTGCACTGAAGATGTTACCTAGCTAGGTAATGAAACGTTTGCAAGAAAACAGACAAGCTCAAAGAACCCCAAGGACTCCACAGCTCAACCCTGAGCTACACTTATTCACTTCTCTTGGTACTTCAGAACTTAGAAAACAAGTAGAAAATATGGAAGGAAGGGGTGTGAGTCTTCACCCAGACCTCAAACATGAAGTTCAGTAGGCAGAGATTCAAGAATGTAGCTCTTTGATAACTTATTATTATTATAGATACTAGAAAAGAGGTATAGTAATTATAGCACAACTGCCAGCTATGAGCCTGAAGCCATAAATACATGTGCCCAGGTTCAAACCTTACATGTCTTTTTCCCACTGGTGTATCATGATGGACCGCAAGGTGGTCATTTCTCAGTGGTGGACACCTGGGCACTGTTACTGTGATAGACCTGCTTGGTCCCTGGTTCTCTGTTTCTGACATTGGTCCTTCCAGCTTTCATATATGGTATCCTAACCATGGAGCACTTCAAAAATAATTACACACCTTCTGAGCTGTATCCAGAAACAAGCTGGTAAAACACGCTGTACAATCTGATTATTGCAACAGTTCCTATGCATAGTTCCATATAACCTGAGAGTCAGGGACAGAGCGGTAATCTTCAGCTCTAATCAAACGCTTACCTGAGAGGAAAGTGGCATGTTTTTTATGGTCATGATTTTGCTTTCGTAGACAAAAGGGACTATCGTGACTTTCGGGCATCAAGCGGGACTTCTCGGCAAGCAGTTCCATCAGCCTCCTCCTGCGGCGGAAGTTCATTCGGAACTGATAGAGCAGGTTACTATCCATAAAATGGTGTTTGTTGGACACTAGAGGCAGCAAGGAAGACAAGGAAAGCCTTCATTTTAGAGGAGTGGCAAAACTAGGAGGGAATCAGTATGCTTTGGGATGACAAGATGACACTGTTCACCCAAGTTAACAAAAGTAATTCTAGCAGGAATTGTAAGTGTATGGTTCTTTTGGGAAATCAGTGATACAGCTTAATATTTGCCATGCTCTTTAGTGCTGAACTGGACACAGATAAGGTTAAGCCGATCTGAACCATATGTATTTTTTTTTTAACCACAAAAATATGAAACAAAGTACAGGCAATCTCACCTAGAGGAAGCCACGACCACGTGTCAGAGCAGGGAAGATGGCCGTGGGTCGTGTTCGTCATCCAATGCAGAGTTCGCAAACGGAAGCAAAATTTTGCGAATGCTGCT